ATTGGGTCAAAATAAGCTACAGTGAACAATTTACTTAGTGTGTATTACTGAAGTGTTTCTGTGAAATGCCATATAGCAAATGCACACACACAATACTTAGGATGATTTATTAATTTTAATGGGGAAATATTGCCAACCTTATTTTCATTCCATTGATAACCATGTTTTGTTTGTATTTCAATTATATGCTTTTGAAACACACATTGTAGTCTGGAAGAGCGTACTCCTTTGTTATGTTAGGCATTTGCTCGATGAAGACCAAGTTGGGTCCAATCATTGCTAATGTAAAAGCGTTTAACAAAGAGTTACTGCAAATATGTTGTCTCTTAATTGTGAAATGTTGCGTTGATATTTAAGTGGAAAATTAAGATTTTCATTTGAAAATTATTTTATAGCCTAACTGAAAAAGGGCATGTCTTGGGTTCAAGATTTAGTCAGATAAATTGAATCAAGCAACACCGGTTATCTTGGTTTAGGTTTTTGGACAACTATGTGTTTTTTCTTTACAGAAAGCCTGTGTTACACACTTGGGGCACAATGTTTGAAAGACAGGCCAGTCAGAAGATCAAACACAAAGAGGCTATTGGTGACATTGGGGAAATATACCATCCAAAAAAAGGCATGATATTTTGGGCTGTTATGCATGGATTTTAACAATGTTTTTATTATAAACCGTTTACCTCAAGTCCCCTTAGTATGGAAGTTTAATACTAAATCCATAGAGTATTCAATATCATGATATTGATTTCAGCTGTATGGCAGGGCCCAGGAGACTGAACACAATATTGCTTGTTTTGTTGCTAAAACAATTACAGAGCTGAAATTTTTTTGTTGCAGAACAAGTCCAAGGTCTTCAGGTGGCCTTTTGTTTTGGAGCAGTGACATGTTAAGCTGATTGTAAACACGGTTGTACTGCTAATATGCTAACAGACAAGCACAGACAGTTCACACACTGTTGCCGCTGTTCAAAGTTTACGAAAATCGATGCGCTCTCCTGGAATCGCAGATTATATTTCTCTAGAATCTCTTGCTCCATCTCCCGGAATGGCCTATCCAGCTGCTAAATCGACTAATAGCGGCGTTTTATCCCCACGTGGAACACATAGTTGTCCCAACGCATGCAGTGTAACTGTCTAAATCCTGGACATGTAAGGGGCCTTAGCAGTGGCGGTTCTACAGGGTGGCACGGGGTGGCAGCTGCCACCTCAGAAAAAGGCCCTGCCACCCCAGCTGCCACCCCATTTGGCAGCTTTGTTTTGAAAGAAAAGTTGTGGCTCATCGGACATTTATGAGAGAAAATCTCTAATGTCCGAGTGCAAGTGAATGCAGCACAAGACGCGAGCCTTGTAACCCCTCCCCCGGCCCTGGCGCGAGCGTGGAAATATGATTGGCGGTGATTTAATTTGAACGGGGGGACAGCTCAAAACGAGAAGCATTTCGGATCCAGGTAGACGGAAGGAATGAGATATTTGCGGTCAGGGTATGGCTGGGGTAGGCTACAGTCATACCAAGAAATGGCTTAGCCCCACCTTGAAAAATGATGTTAAAGTAAGCAAAATAAAGTCTGCCAACTCGCGCGGAGTAAATTTGCACAGACAGCAGTTAGTAAGATTGATTTCAGTAGCCACTTGTCTGGAAATACCGAAGACCAGAAACGGTTTTGAAAACTTTTGTCACGTAGTGATCGTCTTCTCAATAGTACATATTTGATAATGTCTTCTGGCCAATCAGAATCACGATAACGGCATGGTGTTGTTGCAGGAAGTCCCGATGGAGAATACTTTTGCTGTAGTACATCTCTATATACATCGATGCAACATTACGTGTTGATAGAAATCAACACGTAATGAAATAAGACCCCACGGTTTGATGATTGATAGGTGTGTGGGCTGTCTTTCATTTTGACACACAGAACAATGGGGGCTATCCACCCTTATCCACAATGTAAAGTAATTCACAGCCTCTTCCCTCTTCTCTCTGTGAGGAGCAGCAGGTTCAGCTTTCAGAACAAAGTAACAAAAAACTAAAATGGCATTCATTTTTTTTAAATATGTCGTGTAGTAATAGGTGTATTTATTTTTCTTCTCAAGAGAGTACCAGAATGTGTATTTTATGTTAGTATTTCAAAAAATCTCCTGGGGTGAGAATCCTGCAGCCGATGGGTTTTCAGCATGTCAACTCTTTCACTTGTGGGGAAATTGCAGGATTGGCTCCAGGTCGCCCTTTTTATTTACTACAAGACAAATGTGGCTTTTTATTTCATACAGTTCCATTTGGATGGAGACAGGGAAATAATCTAAACCTCACGCGTGGCGTTTCACTGTCAAGGGGAGCGTGTATGTAATTACATTGCAAATACTGACTTGAGCCCCACCACTGTATGGGTTAGCCCTAGATTACCCAACACAAATACTCTGGAGCCACCACTGTTTGCGGTCTACAATGACAGAGAAGAGCCTGTCAAGTTTGGCTGTACTCAGCATTGAATCAAAATGCACCATAGCTTTAAATCTTAATAAGTTTGTGAGGCGTTTTGCTGATCAAGATGGTAATCGCCACATTCAGCTGTTATAGGCATGCCAACTTGATGCTCTGCTCACGGATGAGTCGATGAGAATAATAAACTGTTAAGATGATGACCTTACGTGTGTATAATATTTTTCTTCTTTGTGGGGTTCTGCCCCCAAAAAACAGTTTCAAGTCCTGAGAAAGTCAAATAAGACGGTGTGTAAAACTTCACTGCCCGAAAGTAACCACTTTGATTTAACTAGGCCAGTAGGTAAGGGCTTTCCACTGGATAATAACTGCAGCGATGTATATGTTTTAGCTGAATACATGTTTTTTAACCCTAACTGATGCAGTTAGTCACTTCTTTAATGTTTGTTCTTTCTGATGTAAAGTCAAGGTTGTAACTGTTTGCAATGAAGTTGTGGGCCGCTGAACTGTTCTTTTGAATCTTTTGATTTATGATAGTAATTACTTGTCTTTCAAATTTGAAGGAGGGTGAGCAAGCATCTTGAGGAACATTCATCATTAACTCCTCCAAAAAATATAGTTTACTTAATAATAACACTGAAAATGTGAATCATAACAGTGATTGACAGCTGATAGAAATAATATGATTGTTCATATTATCATATTCATACAGACAAACATCGATGAGACAGTTAATTAATGTACTTATTGCAGCAGTCTGCATAGATTGGTACCCCTGCTGGTCTAAGAGTGAAACAAACTCATTCAATTATTGTTCAGTTAAAATTCATTAAATTATGTCTGCCACCTTATATATTTATATGTAAGGCTTTACTGATGTGCCACAATAATGTCACCTAATGTTATTGAGTTAAAATATCATTATTGTGGCTTTCCAAGTTAACATTGTTGATATGACTGCGATTAAATCAGCATATACTTCTGCCAGGGGATGCCACCCCTGAAATTCTCCTGCCACCCTCTTTCCACCCCATGAATATTTGTCTAGATCCGCCCCTGGGCCTTAGGTTTGTAAGCAGTTGCCGCTCTAGATAACTTTGCATTTAGAAATCCCCAGACTTCGGGTAAGCGGATACCTCAGATTGTTGCTATCATGAGACAAATGCATCAACAGAGCTTTAAATGTATGCCTTATGTATTTTGTCTTGTCAATATCCATCACTCCCACCTAAGCACACCTATAATGGACACTCCTACACTCATCAACACCAAACACTCAGCAGCTCGGCCGTTAAATATTCCCTTTCTCCTGTGATGATGTCAGCAGGGGCGTACACTCACACTGCCATTAACAATTAATTGGATCATTGGAGCCATGTGTGTGTCATGCACTCAGCCTTTTTATGTTTAAGCTCTCAGTGCTACAATATATCACAGAAATGTCAAAGTCAGCACTTTCATTAAATGTTTACGACGAGGATGGACACAAGAGCAGTGAAACGTTCTCTCCTGGTGCATGTTAGTGAGTGTCATGATTTTAGTTTGACTTTTTGTTGTACTTCCTCTTCCTCCATGATTTGTTTGACAAGACCTCTTGCAGTGGCAGTGGGTGTTAAGTGTAAATCTGAGGCAGCAGCTCCTCCTCTCTGAGGATCGCTTAAGGCCACATGCAGTAGTCTCGACAAAGTAGCTGACAGGTAAATGTTGTGCTTACACGGTTCAGAGAATATGTGAGAAATGGTGCGGTGCGTAGCAGGCATTCTGGGTGACTGATGGAGCAACAATATCACACACTCACAGGCAGAGAGAGAAGCAATGAGAGCAGAGAGGCAGGCAGGTATTCATCGGTGAGGAGAGACCGCAGGAACACACACACACATACATGGTGAGATGAGGCAAAGCAGTGGTTAAAAGAGAACTCTCACCAGTTTTTATGTAAGATTATGTGACAGTAGTTCACACAAAGGCACAAGGAAAAATTCAACGCGCTGCAAAGTTACAGCAGGCAAAAACAGAACAATTTAGCGCACACAGCCAAGCACACATTTCAACAGTGTGGTTATGGCTGCACTACATCATCAACACAGATAAAAGCTTAGAATAAGATAGATTTACACACATAATGTTCAAACTGTATGAAAGGTGCGTGAAGTCCCAAGACCCACGTGTGACCTCTGGTATTTATTTGCACGTGCACCCTCTGTACACAACATTCTTTATTTGCTTAAAAATGATTGCCTGTTCCTGTTCCAAATGGTGTGCTTGTTGAGGAGAAAACGACCACACAAGCTCCTAATCTGCTTCATCTAAATTCAAATGGCCAGCTCTGCTTCCTCACCCTCGATCTGCTGATCGATCATGCGTCACGACTTGAACACTGGCACACTGCAACTGACCATCCGAACCCGCACTATTGTCCATTGCGTAACAACCCGGTAGTGGGCTGAGCGTAAAAATAAAAAATAAACTCGGCAGGCGCAAAACCGCACAACATTGAACTCTGATATCCCGCGTTCCTTAAACCGCCCACACCCCCTCCCTTCCGCGTGGACACACAAACTCACCCAGGGTGTGATCGCAGGTCCTCCCCGTGCGTCTCTTGGTGTGTGTCCGTGTATCCAGTAAAAATAGGTTGGGGAAAACGAGCGGCAAAGGTACAATCGAAGTAGTGAACGGCAGCCAAACGCCACCGACTTCTTCTTCTTCTTCTTCTTCTTCTTCTTCTTCTTCTTCTTCTTCTTCTTCTTCTTCTTCTTCTTCTTCTTCTTCTTCTTCTTCTTCTTCTTCTTCTTCTTCTTCTTTCTTCTCCTCTGCTTCTTCTTCTCTCTGCTTCCTTCACTCTTCCCCTCCTCCCCGGGGCAGGTTAGGCAGCGGTGTTAATAATCCAGGCATTGTCCTCTTCATCAGCATTAAAAAGAAACACGGATAGGATGAGAAGACTCCGTTTCGCCAAACAACAAGACAGAAGTTTAGAGGAATTCTCCTTTTCTAATGCTGTCCAGTGTAATCCGCGTTTGGAAACAGTCTAAGTGTCCACCAGTTACAATGTGGATGCAGACGTGTGGAAAAAGCTAAGAAAGTTTGCTTTCAGAGTGACTGAAACACAGATGAGACCGGAGAAATTATACCTGGGAGATGTCTTGTTATCTCACTTCCAGCTCCGGACAAAATAACTCTCCCTTCGCAGGGATTGTAGCGCACCTGCGGCCGGATCGGAGACGCGCAGGTATCTACGAGCTCTTCCCCCTCCTCCCTCTCTCGGTGTGTGTTTTATTCCGCGTTTTTATTCCCGTCTCTCCACGGTCATCACTCAGTGTCAAGCCTGACGTTGGTTCTCCAAAGTAGCTCAGGGAAGCGTCTCTTTTCACCCGCGCGTTCCGCTCTCCTCTCCCCTCTCCCTTCGCTTTCTCTCTCCTCAACAAGCTCCGTCTATCCTCCTGTTGTGAAACCACACCTCCCTCGGCAGCGATTGGCCGGGAACTGCAGAGAAGGAGGAGGAGAGGGAAGGAGGTGAGTGCTGCGATGATGCGCTCAGGAGAGAGAGGGGAAATGAGAGGATGGAGAGAGAGGAGAGAGGAGGACAAATCTAGAGGGAGAGAAGTGAAAAAAGAGAGAGTGTGTCAGGGAAGAAAAAAACGAATGGTGTGTATGAGGATGCCTGTTTAAGGAGGGGGGGAGGGGGTGTTCATGTACTGAGCTCTATGTGTTCAAGCCCAAAGGGACAGGCTGGCTAATGAAAGTGAAAATGCTTCTCTCCTTCTTTTTTGTTATCCCTCTCATTCACTCAAAGCGCTTTAGCCACATTTTGTCCGCTGCAAATCTGCTTTGACTCCCGGCAAAACTAAATTCATACTGACAATGTCCCCAATTACTGAGCCGAGTCATACGCTTCCGTCCGTCCATCTACTTCCTCTTTATGAAATCTGGTGTCTGTCAGTTAGGCTGCTTCCTTAGTGAGTCTATGATGAATAAGTAAGTGGTTGAAGGGAGGCTGGAGAGTGGAGTGCATGTTGAATATGCTGCCCAGGGGCGTCAGCAGGGAAATAAGTAACAGGCAGAGCCGCTTTGGTAAAGGGAGCAAATGAGGTGGGCCTGATATTGCGACTGTTGTGGTGCAACCGCACATGTTAGCGGGAGATGGGAGACAAAAATTGCTCGACAGCTCCTGGGAGAGCTAGGCTTTGATTGATGGCGACGCTTCAGGGAGTGTTTCAATATGAACTTGGTTAACTCGGAGCCACATGAAGCATTCATCACTTGCTGCCATGCTGGAGTGAGATGCTCACCGCAAGCTAGGCAGCTTTTTATTTAGAATGGCACCTGCGGGAGCATCCTCACAGGCGCAGCAGCTACCTATTTGCAGCTATTTTAAGGCTCACATCAACAAATCTCCAACAAACCCCTAAAACCAAAGTATTAGCGACCTGACTTGACTGCAGCTAGTTGCTCATAAAGGGTGTAAAAGGTGGAGGGTGCTGTTGTGCACATGGCCATAGGAGACATATTGGTAATTTTGCAATAAATAACAAAGTGATCCTCACTTGCTTGTGAAAAACATTTCAATGATTATAGTCACACCACATTTCACTTTTTCATCCATATGCCATTTAACAAGGTACCCCATAACCTGCAAGTAGGGTATAGAAAGGGAGTCTGTTACGGGAAAAACAACATACCCAATTTTTCATGAAACTAGGTGAAATGGTGTGGTATAAAGCGTTGGAGGCAGGGGCTTTTTCATTCCTGTGAGTGTTGCTCATTGGTGCGTGAAGCCCAAAATGGAGCAACTGTAGATTTTTAAAAAGTACCCGTTTCTTGGTCCATATAGAGCATGCACACTTGAGTTTTACTAAGGCCACCGATCTTCCGCTCTCGGCACAGTCAAATGAACGGAGAGAGAAAATAACTCTGAATTGAACTTTTAGGGCATTTTACTACCCTGGTGATTCAAATAAGGGTTACAAGTTAGTTCTGGATAGTTTATTTAGCAAAAAATGATATGCTCAGTTATAGAGGTATCCGATGTAAATCAATGGGGAAAACTATTTTTGGGCACAATCCTTTAGTGTAATACCACAGTTTGGCCACTATGACATTTGCTTCAAAGGCCTAGCGCTATGGGCCAAGATTGAACATCATTAAAACTGTGAGATCTCCCTGCTATTTCCATGAACTCGAAGCTCATGCACACCACCAAGTCGGAAGCACAACTTACCAACTGAGGTGCATGTGAATGCACCATTGGCACAGCTAAACATGCACTGTTCTGTAACAAATATCTTGATTCTCACATAAGCTAGGAATGTTTAAATAAGTGAATTTTCCACCAATAACATTGAAGAAATAGACATGTCAGTGAGTCAGCATTCTCAATAAGAGAACCCTGGAACAGGGACAATGAAATGGACCCAGCTGTTGTTAATGATATGAATTACACCTGTGCTTTTCTAGATGTCACGTGTCAAAATGACTGCTGTGAAAAGGGTCTATTGAAGACAACGCTGGGGCCATCACTCAAAAATCATAACGTACCAGTAACTTTAATTATTATAGCTTTTGAAGAATACAATTATGGCCGCTTTTTACAAATGGAAAGTGTTTAGATAATAACCCTAGATTTGTGAAAACTGTCAACAACTCTCAAAAGACTCGCTGCCCAAAGACCCATTCCATTAGCACTTCAAGGACAGTGTCTTACCATCTTGAAACAAGGTCACAATCAGCAGATCCCTTAGAGGAAAACTTACTCCACAGATGAATATCCTTCACTTGTCTGCTGACGATTTGTTGTGTACAATTCACAAGTGAAACTCGCAAAACAACAGCAAACTACAACAATCACAAGCACCATTTTGCAGGCATTAATGATTTATTTCACTTTATAAGTAATACACCGATAGTGTTCTGACATCAACTTTTCATTATGGAACAGATGGTGCTGGTGTTGGGGGAACTGTGGACAGCTTGTCAATAACTGTCACATGTAGTTCTCTACGTGTGCAGTGCATAACCACAACAAGAGAGCAATAGCCAAACACTTTAATGTGTCGACTGCAGAAAAAAAACAGGCAGTTATTTGAAACAGGCTGGTTATAGAGACAGAAATGTATTTTCTCTGTTTTACATTTTATCATATGGTTCAGGGAGATACTTTTGTATTTTCTGATCTTTTCCCTTTTTAACATGTTTTACTTTGCTCTTTATTTGTTGCTGTTAAGCTACCATCAATAGACCAATTTCTTCCTGCTAAATATGTTTTTTGTTTGTTCATACCACTTTAGTTTCAGGTAACTCAAGGTAAAGATTAGTTTGATAGCAACACCACACTGGTCCATTTACATTATCCTGAAACGCAACACAGTACCTCGAAACAATCCCATGCCTTGGCCATCGCAACTACGTTTATTTTTGAGAATTTCATGCCACATTCCCTCCCAAAACAGGAAATCATGTCATTGTTATTTAGCATGGAAGTGTCTGAAAGTTTCTTGGCTAACTTTTCATGCTTATGAATAAGACTTGCTTCTCCAAGTAGCAGAAGTGAAGTTAGTTATATATGGACTGACATCACAGGAGCAGTCCAGTGTCGGTTTGGCAGCGCAATGAATAAATGGATGTCTGCAGCATGCACCCGAAGAGCTCGCAGCTTCAGAGGGACGAGGATATTGGATGGAGTCTCCAGCTTGAACGGGATCAGACGAGCAGAGAAAGAAATGTAAATATAAATTTGGTTGCTGTCAAAACATTCACGGCTCAAATAGAGAGACTATTCCGGGTGTTGTTTTTATGTTTGCAGGTACACAAGCTCTAGGCAAGTTTTTCGAAATAAAAACATGTTTGTTCATGTTTTATTTTTCTTATTATTCATGTGCTTTGTTCTTCTTGATACATCGGGATGGAGCTGTTCATTAAACGCACTTTAAATATAGATTTGCCTGTACAAACAGAATAAAGCTCATTCCTCACGTCAGTTTATGTTCGAGCACCGGAGCCAAGCCCTCATTGGTTGACAGCTATAGGAGAACATTTTATTGGCAAGACATATTAGGTAAAACCATTTGCATTGGTGCAAAAGCCGAGTATGCTTTTTATGTGTCCTCATCGGGGATCGATCACTCCTGCTCTTGTCATACCTTCTCGAAACAAATGAGGGATTAAAGCAGAGACGTTCGAGAACACAATAACTGGGATGGGAGAAGAGCAAGAGGATGACAGCAGCTCACTGAAATCCACAGGATATGTATTTCCTTTGTCTCAGGGCTTGGAAAGTACAACACCCACTCAGGGGCTCAGCTTGATCCTTCTTTTTGTATTTGCCATGTTCTGGTGATGTTAAATATTGGGAAGCAGGGACGTTTTTTAATGCATTAAATATGAATCTCAGCTAAAAGATGTTCATGTGTCCAACAGGTATCTCCGATGGCCGTTATCTGAGATGGTTATGAAGACAGATGCTCCTCTGTTAATCAAAAGTGATATACATGGACAGATAAGTGCCGTTTTAAATGTGTTAATGGGACAATCTAAAAATGTCGCCATCCATCGCACGTTGAATTTGATTTGCTTCCCTCAGGAAAGTGCTTTAGACTGCCACCGGTCACCAAAATGGCTAAAGGAAATAGTTTGTCTCAAGCAGTTTAATTATTAAATACATGTTAATCATTAAGGGCCAAACCCTTACCCCAGCCCCCTTGCTTTATTTGCATGTTTGAGGATTTTGCACATTTTACTTTTGTTATATGCTGAAATGCTAAGCTCTCCCTACAGTATATCTTAACTGTTTCTTACTTGATTGTTATTCCGTGTTTGAAGCCAAATAAAACGTAACACATTGAGAACATCAACGTTTCAGGACTGACAGAGGTGTAGCTGCAAATAATTGAAGTAAAATCAAACAAACAACAATCTATCTAATCTACCTGTGTCAAAAATAAGATATTCTATGGACATAATGGGAAGTTTGTTAAGACATCCTAACAAAGTCACAACATGAGGAAGGTTGGAAGGATTACCGTGTCTTCAAGGGAGGAAATAAACTGAATTGAACACAATGTCAAGCTGTTAGTTGTACGTAAACTGTGTATATTCCTATATTTAACTTCCTTGATGAGTCACCAGCAACTTCAGACTGTTAAACCCCATGGTGAGTTATAACGGTAGCTGTATATGAATGTTGGGATTAATGTGTTTAGTAGTCAATTACTTTATTAAACATGTAATTAACTATTGAAAATAATGTACTTGTTATCCACCACCTGATGGGCTGTAAGAACATGGGTGTGTGTGGCCTATTTTCAATGGTTCGATGAACTAAGGAACCAAATCTCAGGCACTAGACTAAAAACTAAAAGTCCCTTCTTGTTATTTCTTCACACCTCATCTCAAGAACTGTGAAGATTAGGCACATTTGAAACA